ACTTCTAAATATACTGGTGATATAATTATCAGATCTTTAATAATTACTATATTTCAATAACTGTTAAACAATGTAGTGCAGAAATATATACCCATAATATATATAATTAGTGGTGTATGTCATAGTGCCTTGAGGCAAATTGCTGGAACTTCTGAAATTAAACTTTTTTTTCTTTTCCCAAAAACAATCGTTTTGTCAACATAACCGAAAAGTTTTTTGAATCATTCAAATCGGATGCTTATTTCTCTCAAAAACTGTAATTATTTGCAGATTGAGCTCCGTATCTCCAAAATGACTAATAAAACTAATCAGCTCATCCCCCTATCAATAGGAATCGAATGTTTTTTTGAAAAATTGTATCCATACATACAGACACACACATCCATTTTTTCTAAGGTATGCCAAAATGTTCAGAAACCTTCAAAACGAGAATTTATGCAAAAATTTTCAATTTCGATTCTCAAACGATTAGAAGAACTTACCCTGCAAGTAGTTAATAATTATAATAATTGGTAATATGCATCATCATTTTGAAAGTTCGAAAAACGTAAACCAATCCTGAAAAAAATGTAATTTGTGGCAACACGAGTTGACCATTATTTCGAAATAGGCTTTGAGTTGGCAAAATAAAAGATTGGCAGGACATTTTTGTAATTTGTAAAGAGATCAGAATTGAATACAGTTTTATATTTTTGTAGTGTTTATTTTTAAATAATTAATCATTTCTCACACTGGTGATTTTTCCGATATTTGTTGAAGGGGAGTGATGTGGCATCACTGTTGTCCATGAGTTCAAAGTTGTCTTTGAGAGACAGGAAACAAAATAAGATTTTGTCAAGATATTCTGCAAGTTGTAAAACGATCAGATCAGATTTGAATACAAGGTTAAATATTCGTAGTATTTATTTTGAAATACATAATTCATAACTTTCCACACTGGTCACCTTTTCGGCATTGGTTGAAAGCGGGTGTGATGTGGCAACACGACTTGGAAATTATTAAATAATTAAGAATTTTCACATTAAACAAAATAATATAATTTTAATGGCATGTCGATTACAAAAATGATTTGATCATTTGAATGTGGGTAACTAGTAATAATTTATAACCAAAAATATAAAACTGTATTAAAATCTGATCGTCTTACATATTACATTAATTATTTTGTTTCTATCTCCTAAAGCCAACTCCGAACTCATGGCCATCTTGTGTTGCCACAATTTATACAAATTTCAAAGCCTAAAAATTAAATATTCATTTGAATACAAAATGTCAAAATTATAAATTGTTGATAAAATGAACCGTATTAATTTCATTGATAAAAATGCGATTAATTTGCAAATTATCATGTAATCATTGAATTATTTAAAGTTTTTTCATTTAGTGTACGTTACATATTAAAAACGTCATTGAAATAGTCGAATAATCTGGTATAAAGGCACTTTTTAAAATATGTTTATATATTTATTAATATTTTACACAAATATTAATTTTAATAAAAAAAACGTCTAAAAGTCTAAACTTAATTCTACGTCGTGGGAAATAGTAAACTTTTTTTTAACCACGATTTGTAATTTATTATTGATTCGTTCTTTTGCGTGTTGAGTTGGCGCCTAAATAGATATTAAATATTCAAATCTTTCATATGAAATACAAATAGCGACGTGAAAATATTCCATGCAATTTAAATCGATAAAATCCAACTGTAATCTTTATTTAAATTTGTATTTAATTATAGCTTATTTTTCAGAATAATTTATTCAGAAAAATATTAGAAAAAATAACGCAAAAAATAGTAAATTAGGTAAAGTGTATATTGTATATTAAAAAAATATTATTAAACATATAATGATGTGAAGTTTTAAATTCCAACACATTAATTCCAAATAATTATTTTTTTGTCTTTACGAATAACTAAAATTAATCAAATAAGCAATCTAAATTCAGCATTTGCATCTACTATGTTATGTACTATGTTATCGAATATAATCTGTTTATATGTTTTTAACAGAAAACTAAAACAAATGCAATTGATATGTGAATTCAGCTCTACATAAAAATAATTAATATTCTGCTTGATTAAAAGAATAACCTAGTAGATAAATAATTAATTAACATTAAAAAATCAAAAAATAACTAATAATAAATAATTTTAAGTCTTGATTTCAATGTTTGTGCGTGAGAAAGATACATCTAGATATATTCTTTTAAATTTTCTTTTGGTAATTACAATTTGTATTTAAAAACAGATTAATTAATTTTAATGATGAAATGTGAATACGAGTAGAAATCGGAAGCCTATTCGCATTTGACATAAAATATTTTCATGATTTTTATTAAAATATTAATAATATGCATAATTAATCTTTAATTAATTTTTCGTTTCGATATACGTTGCTTTAATAAGATCAATATTTTACTCTACATGAGCTTTGACTTGTATATTTTTAATTTTCATATATACTTTTTAACGCAATTAGAACCTAACAAATCCTATAAGCCAGGGCTTCTTAAAATATGAGTGGCTACCCCAAATGAGGTCCCGAGTGATTTTAATGCCAAATATTTATATCTTTTCATATCATCACGTCTTGATTTTTGTATGTTTTCAACAAATTCTTAAACTATATAGTTTCATATGTATATGTATATGTATATTATTGTTACCAAATATATAAATTATTCAAAAAAAATAATTTATTTTTTACATCTGTGGGGTCGTCAAGAAACTCGTAGTCATAAATGGGGTCGCCAAGAAACTCGCACTCGTAAATGGGATCCCTAAGGACAAAAGTTTAAGAAGCCCTGCTATAAGCCACTGTGCTTCTCAAACGAAGTGACTTTAGAGATAGCAAACGAAACGGTTGTCCTACGCCTTCCTCTATGTGATGAATTTGTTATTACGATTTATGTAGCTGTAATGAACTTTTTATTGATTCTGCAACGCCGAGTAATTGTTTTCGATGTTAGTGCTGCTTGACATGAGGCTGTCCCAAGCTGGTTTCGAGACTCGAGTCATTGAATCGAAGTCCATAGTTCTTAACAATAGGGTCACGAAAAAATCATCCGTGCTCACGAAATCGGCGAAAAAATGCACACACACACATATATCCATTTTTATGAGTATGCGAAAATGTTCAGAAACCTTTGAAACGCAAACGCAAAAAAAAATTCATTTTCGATTTTTTACGATTACTATAACTACCCTATGGAAAGCTAACAAGGAAAATTTGTAAAATATCTAATTTTGTTATAGACATTGTGTAGAAAAAATTGTATTAACTCCCGCTTGTAAACTCCTGATACTAATCTAATGATTGTAATCATCCAATTAAAAATCCCATTTGGCGATTTTGTTTGTAAATTCTTAATCAATAATTTTAATACTAATTCAATTATGTCATTTTTATATATCACAATATTATTAATATTTCCACTTAAAAAGTAAAATTTATATTTTTATCTATCATCTCGAATGTTTGACTTGCGGGCGAATCTTCGGTAACTTATTCAGAAGTGGTGGAATTAAATATTCATAAAGGTTGGCGAGACAGGGCGTTCATTGCTCATATTTTTCCACCAACCAAAATGTGTTTGATCGTGATGAGATAAAGAAATAATTGATTAAGTAAATAATATTATGGCTTGCTCTCTTAGGATTATATCAACAACCTCAAATCAATTAATGGTAATAAACAAATTAAGAAATTAGAAGTCTGTAGATGTCTGATATATATATATCATATTGTGCATCGATTCATTCTTGATAAAAAGGTTGGCAAATATTGTATATAATTAAATTCAAGGTAATATTTATTTCAATTAATTAATTAATTAAAGGTATATGATCTATAGGTATATGAATACCTATTCTTGAAAAATACAACTTTTTTATTTTGATTCTTGCTTATCACCAGACCAAGTTCTAGGTTGAATTTAGCGCGATTAATTATTACAGGCAAATTAGGATTTCGCCAGAAAATCGGGCTTACTACTTTATGTTTTTTGGAAATTTCCAGTCATTCTGAATCGTTTGAAATAAAATTTAGTAGAAGTATGAGCGTGTGTGTATATGTGATCTAAAATTTGGTCTTATCGAGAGTTTCCATCAACGACTGCATAGATTTCAATTAAAAATTTAAAACCATTACATTTTTTAGCAATATATGTCGCCTACTAGAACTATTCTGTAACATACTTCTTCAAATCACATATTCTAAGTTTGAAAAAAATAGTTACTCTCAAAACAAGATACTATATATTTTGTTTTTACGATATCGTACAATTTTAACAGGAAGTTTATTATAAGCAAAATGAAATAATTAGTTTTTACTCAAAATTCTCTATTTGTAGAGGAAGAAGAGAATCAAAAGATCAGCAATTGCTAATTTAATTAAAATAATATAAGTTTATAATTTACTTTTGACGGAAGATTGAAGTCGCACTTTTGTGATAAATATAGATTTTCATAATAGTCTCCAGTTTCTATCTGATAAAATATAAAACGAATGAGAACGCCAACATCAGAGAAAGTCAAAATACACTCATTTACTTCGCTTATTGAATCTTGTTTTTAATATGTATTTAGCCCTCATAATCCATCATTTATACTTAGATAGAAAATATGAATAGGTAATTTATAAATAAATTTATCGATTTGTGTCGCCAACGAACGAACCGAAATAAACTTTTTGGTAATTTAATGGAACTGCACATTGTCAAAACAAGTCAATAACTAATTCATCATAAATACAACATTGGGAATCTATTCGTATTATAGATATTTGATATAATAAGTCAATTGGGCAGCATATTAACTGAAAATAATTATTTTCGAGACAAAATTAGTATACCAAAATAGTAAATCCAAAAGTTGTTTTCGAGATGTGTGGTATTCCTATTATTTGGAAAGCTGCACTTATTGTTGGTCAAGCACTAGTGTTTAAAAATTCTAATATGACCCGCTTTTAAATAAATGATAAATTGATTTAAAATCTTACCTCTAGAAAAATCAACATCGCCATCGCCCAATATTGCATCTTTAGATTTTGATTGGCTTGACCTCCTCGTCAAAACTGGTCCATCCCTGTTATATTGATCATTATGTCTGCAAAAATTTTAATAATATTAAATAAACTAAAAACTGATAGATAATTAAACAACATATTATCACATATAAAAACTAATATATTTCCAACAATATATTCAATATTTATTATTATTATCATAATTGATCGTAACGTTGTTGATATAGTACACATAAATTGGAGTTCTCTATTAATAAAATTAATGTTTCTTGCATCACCTTTTACTATTTCCATTTGTTAGCAT